CATTTCTTCGACCCGGATACATATTTTCCATTTGTCTTCTTAACTGCTCTAATCATGTTTTCTCTGATGAGCTTATTTATTTTCCTTTGTAAGTCCTCGTTTATTCCTTTCTTTGCGCTTTTATTACGCATATTGCATAAATGTTTTACCAGAGGAGACATATAAGGAGGATCACGTGTAGATAATTTTACTTTGATTAATGGGAAGCTTTTGTTGAAGGCCGAAGTAATAATATGATTTAGAAGTACAACTGATTCGTTCAAATCTCTACACTCTTCAATGCAGTTCCAGTTCTGTGCTTCCAACTCTCTCATCATAGCAGATTTTCGGTGGTCTCTTGCATCTCTAAAGTAAACTGATTTTCTCTCTGGTTTAATTGCTTCTCGCGGAGTTGTTATAATGATCAAATGGTCAGATTTTACCAGACTATCGAGAACTTTAGGATTTTTCCATAAATGTGGACAATTAGTTAGAAAAATGTCAAGTACCTTCTGACCTCTTGTAGGTTTTTTTACCATTTGCTCCATATTATGTTGACTTATGATGTCCTTTATCTTTAGTTGATTTATATCTCCTCCAATTATAATTCGGGCATTTGATTCACACCGGAGGATTTTCTCAATACTCTCTGATATATGATTCAGTAATTCGTTTTCTTCATATGTCGGATCCGGGGGGTGGTACACGGCTGCAACATAGTATTTGCTATTTGTCGTCTCAATGTCGCACCAAATGCATTCCAAATTATTTTGGAAATTTAGAGGCTTACACTTCCAATCTTTCCGATAAATTATAGCAACACCTCCTCCATTTCGGCCATCACAGCGATCTTTTCTGATGATTGAATAATTATTTGGGCATATTAGGTGTGATGGTATCTTGTCGTGCAACCATGTTTCGCACACAAAACAAATATCGATTTCCCAGGTACGAAGCTCAACATCTAACGCAGAAGCAGCTTGAGGTTTAGCAAGAGAACGAGCGTTTATAACCATGCATTTAGGTATGATCTTTTGCGCAGATGGACCATTTCTAATAGGTTTTATAGTAACTAAGTTCGGGTTGGAATATGTATTTCGCAATGACATGTCTCTCCAATTTAATTTCGTATTTCGATAACTTATTCTCACTGGAATCTTGTAATAACTGGGAACGTGTTTTTGTGAATTGTTATTTATCTCGACATAATCAGTTTTACTAGGCGTAAATGGTTCCTCCAATCTAGGTCCGTGGATTTTGGTCGATGTTTGTGGACATACCCCTGCTGTAAATGGTCGGGCGGGACTGTAACTATGCCTCCCCAAAAAGGGGTCACATTTGGTTGATTGAATTTGCTTCTTTGATTAATGCGGTATTTCTTTAACTGGTTCACAAAGGAATGAGAATTACTGTTAATTGCTTGGTGGCTACTTCTGTTGGGCGCATCTTCCATACAAGGGTTTTGTGCATCAATTGGGGTTAGTGGATTAAATTTCCTTTGCTGATGAATTTGATAATCTCTTAATTGATTCGCGAAGGTATGGGAATTAATGAGGGTTTCTGTAGTGGCTGTAGGGGCTGGTGGATTGAATTTGCTTTGCTGATGAACTTGATAATCTCTTAATTGGCTCGTAAAAGAGTGGGGGCTAATGAGGGTTGCTGTAGTGGTTCTGCCATCTGGTATATTATCTGTGCAGGGATTGAATGCATCAATGGGGACTTGTGGTTTTGATTTACTTGTCTGTTTCTTGTAATAGTCCCTTTGTTGATTTTTGTCTAATTCAAAACGTTCGCAGCTAGCATTTTCACACTCTGGCTTGTTACTTGATTGATCGAGTTTTCAATTTCAGAATTCACTTTAATAGTATCTTTTTGGGACTTTTCACCTGGTAATTTTGTTGGACTACATTCTCTAACGAGTGGAGGGTTCTTTTGCCTGTGCACCGGTTTAAGTGTTGGGATGTTACTATCACTTCTTTGCTTGTGTCTTGTGTCTGTCTCAGGATGTTTTTTGTTGGATAATTTGCTCTCCAGAGTGGCTATCCGTGATGTTAAATTCAAATTTTCCCTTCTTAATTTGCATATATCTTGTTGACATGTGTTGATCACTCGATTTTGATCACTAACCATTTCCAACAAATCTGCTATTTTCCATTCGGTTTTCCTTATAAATAAAGTAAGTTGTAATTCCGTTTCCAGTCGGGCTGAGGCGTCGTTATGTGGTCGAAGCGGAGTAGATGTTGCACTTACTTGAGCAAAGTTTGGAGTGACAGTACTTATAGTATTATGAAAGGAATTATCAATAAAGTCCTCAAGGTCTTTGACTGTCAATTTATTTGCAGTCATGGGCTCAATATCTGTTATTGAAGACGATCCCTTGCTCAAGTTTGTTTCTTCACACGTAGTTGTTACATTTGTAGGGCTGTTTATATCGATCAAACGGTTGTTTGATACTACAGCGTTACAAACTTTAATGAGTGTGTCGGCTAACTCTTAGCTTTTCTTTCCATGTAAAATCACAGTATTTTGCTTGCCCGGGTACCATGTTAGAGTTAAATCTCGGTCAGAGCAGGTCAGTTTTTTTGAATTCCCTCCTGGCGAAGACCAACTGCCGCGTAATTTCATGCCGTATTCGACGAAATCTTGCAGGGATTTAAGGCTTCCAGTCCATCTAAAGCGAATGCCATCATAGCTAAGATGTATGCAATCTTTATGGTTTCTAATTTCTTTAGGATTTTCTATTGTTGACAGCATATTTTGATATTTTGGCTCTCTTTGATATTTTGGCTCACTGTCCGCCATCTTGAACAATATACCGTTGCTGCAATTTTATATATATCATTGCTACAATTTTATATACCGCTGCTGCAATTTTATATATATCATTGCTGCAATTTTATGTTTCGTTGCTGCAATTTTATATATATCATTGCTGCAATTTTATATACCGACCGCTGCTGCAATTTTATATTTCGTTGCTGCAATTTTATATATAACGACCGCTGCTGCAATTTTATATTTCGTTGCTGCAATTTTATATTTCGTTGCTGCCATTTTATATATTTCGTTGCTGCAACTTTATATTTCCCTGCTGCAATTTTATATACCGACCGCTATGGAATGCCGAAGTGGACAAAAGTCCCTGAGAATTTTTTTATAGACGCGAGAATTTTTTTATAGACGCGAGAATTTTTTTATGGTTGCGAGAATTACTTTGTAAATGTGAGAATTCTTCTACAGAAGCGAGAATGCTTTTATTTATTTATAGTTGCGAGAATTATTTTGTACAAACGAGACTTTTTAGACGCAAAATATTTTTATATTAGGGCGAGAATTTTTTATTATACATTATATATAAATTTACAAACGCAAAAATATACATTATACTGACTGCCAGTTCTACTTATACTTATGGCGGGAAATAATGTGCAGTTGTCACTGTGGCAGTTATACACAACACAAAATGGCGGCTAGAAATTCAGTTTCAGCAACAAGACCCGCACGGACCGCAAATGAAATTTTAACGCAAATATTAAGTCATGTTAGGGAATGATCTGATGCTTTAAGTCCTTCTGCCAGTATCGGATCGGCAAGCCAAGGTACCAGCACTCGAAACACAGGCAATACAATAAACCAAACAGTGGAGGAAGAGGTCAGGAAAGTGTTTGGACGATCTGAACGACCATCCAACACGCTAAATACAGCTGAAGGTATTCAAATCCAAACGCATAGATCAGGAAATAACTTGACAAACGCAGTAAATCATCGGTATAATGCTAGACGATATTTTAGTGGTCAGCAACGCTCCGCAATGACATCCAATAACAGCAAACGCAAGAAGAAAAATGTGCATGGTGGTCCCTTCACACGTGACATAATATTGCTCACTGGCCCCGAAGACAAGGATGTTCCTCGGCAAAGTGTTGTGAAAGTATGTTGAAACAGTTGCTTCAAGGAAAAGGGATAAAGGTTCAAAGAAATCGACTTCGTGATTCCATACATCGAGTGGACGGCCAAGGTGTAGCAAGCAGAAAGAAGGGAAGGCTTCATCGCCGTATATACAATGTTAAAGGGCCCAACCATCTATGGCACGCCGCACATTGATACGAACCATAAACTTGTAAGGTGGAATTTTATTATAGTTGGAGGAATAGACGGGTTCAGTCGATTACCAGTTATGTTGGTTTGTACAAACAACAACAAAGCTGAGACCCTGCTTTCATGTTTTTTGGATGCCGTCACTGAATATGGTTTGCCAAGTAGGGTAAGGACTGACAAAGGCTTAGAGAACGTTCGTATCGCAGACTACATGATTGAGAAAAGAGGAAGTGATCGTGGAAGCATCATAACCGGCCGCAGTACACACAACCAGAGGATTGAGAGGCTGTGGCGGGACGTGTTCCAAGGTGTTCTCAGCTACTATTACAATTTGTTTTATTTTCTTGAAGATCAATCTCTGCTGGACCCACTAAATGATCAACATATTGCTGCTCTGCACCATACTTACATGCAAGATATTAATAATAAACTAAACCTGTGGCAACGAGCTTGGGCTACACACAGAATGCGGACAACCAGGACCAGCCCACTGAGACTATGGATTGCTGGACAAGCACAGAATCCAATTGGAGTGGATCTGTCATCAGATGATTTGCAGGAATATGGTGTGGGTGGTCATGTTGATGATGATGAGAATAATACAGAATATGGTGACAGGCCAATTTTTTCTCCTCCACTTCTAATGCTAAGTGAGAATTGTATAACTGAACTCAATTCTCTAGAATTAAATTCAAACAATTTTAGAATGGAGCAATATGTTTCATCACTACAAATCATTGAAAGGCACACCCAAGTCCCTGATAACAACAATTTTTATTAACAAAAAACAGAAATACACTGTTGTCAATGTGAGAAGTAACTAAGTTGTATTAACTGCAACTGATATAAATGTACATTAAGGAACAGACCATTAGACAAGTGATTTCTCTATTCCATAGTTTTTTCACACTAATATGCCTAAGTTTTCTTGTATTTCCTGTGGGTCATCTTTTGCTTTTGCCCTACCCCTCATCACTTTTCTAATGGTCTGTCTTAATGCAATCATGTTCACATCTATTTAGAACATAGATCTATCAACTTAATGTAAAGTATAAGCTTTAACTGGGTTACATTATGTTCTTATTGTTCTAAACACAGTGTTACTTAATGCAACACAATTTTATCACCAAAAAATGTTTTTCCAAAGTCTAAACATTGCCAAAGTGCTTGCTAAAAAATGCCTCATCATAAAGGCCAAATAAAACATCTTCAGCAGCTTCAGCAATAAAACAGCTTAGATGTGTGGGAAGCATATGGTAATGTCATACAATTGATGCAAGTGTTGGCTGTGGGCAAGAACGATCATCACTTCTGCAAAGCGAATTGATGGAGCTATTTTGAATCCTAGCAAGGGCTCTTCATCACATGATGTTGCAAACTGGAGAATCCAACCTAACGTTACGTCACCTCTTCTCCCGGCTATATATGTAAACAAAAAAGTACACCATTATCTGACAAACCTTGTATTGGTTGTCCAATTGTAGCATGCAGGCCCTGGAATTTTTTATTTATAATTTTTTTATCATTTTATATATAATATTTAGGGTGATTGCTGTAAATTACCAGGGAGCGGGTCATGTTAGCCAGGCATGTTAGCCAGGCAAGTGTCATCGTTTAAAGCTTGCTAAAGACAACGGGATTAACTTTGGATTTACTGTAAATGGGGGTGATGTTAATCTTATGACCTTCTTTTCCTTCTGCTATGCTGTTTAAATGGTTTTAACTTATTTTTCAACATCTATTTTGCAATAGAAATTAAATCGTAATCAAACAATTATAGCACTGGTAATCTACCAAAACTTACCAGCAACCTCTCGCATATATTTGCACAAGAGTGAATAAACAGAAGCTTCATATCTTCTCTTATTTGATCCAGTTGGACTAAATTGTGGCACTAGTAACGTATGGATCTTTCGTAACGTAAGAATGGCCAATGGATTTGGCTCAAAAATCTCTCGTAATGATGGAATTTGCTGACATAGCTAAAAATCATAATAGTAATAAATGTTGAAGTTTCCACCAGTAGTCAGTACTGATGTAACTTGTCTCACAATGTTAAGAAAAACATTTTAGCATTGCATTGCAAGAGATTACGATATGTTATACAAAGAAATATGCTCGCAACTTGCAATAATTATTGCTAAAAACCGCGAGTGCTAATTTTTGGCCCCGAATTGACAGCCAATAGGAAGCCATTTAGTGTATAAACATTGCGAGACCATTTGCAAATTGCAAGAGGGATGTTACACTGTGCAATCCTCTAAAAATACGTTGCAACGTTGCCACAATCGTTGCGAAAAGTAGAACCTGATTCTACTATGTGCAACGCTTCACGCGACGAAACTATTTTTAATGATTTTTTCAATAATGTGAATTGTTGCTCATATCTTAAAATGTAATAAAAGATTATTTATAGTATTCTACCTGGAATATGCCAAGTTTTTCCAGTCCCTTAATCAAATGTTGTACGGCATTAGCCTTCACATCTGACTCAAACATTTCAGTTAATAAGTCATCTGTTAAAAACTGAGGCAGTTTGCCATTTTGTAGTATACTGAGACCTAAAAGAGTATGAATGATAATTCATAATAAAAAGTATAAACATAGATTTCAAGCTTTTCAGTTGCAGTTAATATGTATTTTGGAACAAAATAGTCTAAACAGTTGTTGGCATTTCTCCTAACTAACCAAAAAAATTAAATAACTTTCTTTATTAGAATAGATTCTGAACCTGATAAATATATTCAATGAAAAGTTTAGAGTCTGACTTTTCGCGTTCCCAACCAGAAACACACATGAAATTTTTTAATCTAGCTGACGAAGCCTGTACTCCACGTCCAATAAATCCGATAAATGGGTTATGAGAGAGTGAAAACAAGTCAAGGAGCACCAACACACTAGGGCTATGAGTGAGCTTACCCATTATTGTCCCAACACAGATATATTCATCTGCTAAAAGATGACGCTTTTCCTTGATCTCTAATAACATTAGACGGAAGAATTCTTTCCGTGGACCTCCGTAATCCCGTGCTACCTATAAATTAATAAAAATACATGCAAGGAACTTCTAGCACTAATTAACAACTATTCCACTAATGAACTAATTAACAACTAAAAACCGAGACAAAGTCGAGGTTTTTATTCACGATAATCACCGAGCCTGAGGTGAATAATTGTTTTAGTGTAGTTTCATAGATGATTGCACCCCACACTTTTTCTTCTTCCTTGATTAATTACACTTAATTTAAAAAGGAAAGTTTCTCAACAATCATATAGGTTTTCCATCCCCCCCCCTCTGCCCATCCCCCCCCCAATGTTACTATATGTTAAAAAGGCCTTGAAATAGAACTTGCCAAAGAAAACAAATAATTACCTCCCCATAAAATTGAACCTCTAAAGTGAAAAACAGGTTTTCTAATCCAGCAATTTCTTCCATTCCAGTCTCCAAAATGCTAAGACGATCAACTGAGATGTAATTGGTTTCTCCTTCTGGACACACATCCTCATTTTCAATTTCCAGACTTCTCCCTTGTACGACTTTAGATTGTATCAAACGCACAACCTCTTTAGTACTGGAAATTTGATTTTCTTCACAATGACGTACAATACCATTCACAATGCTGTTGATATCTTCAGCTTCCGGCAATTGATCAGAAATCTCAGTTGCTGCTCCAGGCTCAAGGTCAACCTGGTCAACAACTGTCACATCATCCGTCTCTGTTAAATCTACCTGAGGTGGATTGTTATTAGTTTCAGGAACAGATGTTACAAGTGGTTCACCAGCTGTCTCGTTGATCTGCAGCTCATCGTTGTTGACAACGTTGGTGCTGTTACCACTTGGGTTTTGATCTTGCCTTTGCAATAACACAGTATTTCCATTGTCATGGAGATCTGCATCTCCTGTATCGGAGTCAGTTGAGCTTCCAATTCCAATTTATTCAAACATTGGAAACTCTTTGTTGCATCCCTCGCACATTTGCTTTACATTCACAACAGTTTCAGCTTTAACAGGCTTGGTCGAAAGGCTACGCTGTATCGGTCGAACGTATATCTTTGACTGACCACCAATGTTTGCTTTTAGATGTTTGACAGACCACTGACACTTGATCATTGTCAGCTGTCGGAAATTAGATTGGCATTGAAGAAGTTCAAATCCTCCGCCGTCCTGAAGTTGTGGAAATCCCACAGTCTCCTCACCTGTCGATTTCTCTGCAGACATAAGCTTTTCCGCAACTTCCTCTTCGTTGTCGCTTTGCAAAAATTTGATTTTTTTCAGTCCTAACCCTGCACTGTACAGGACTTGTCTTGCGCTCGCAGTGGGTAGGGTAGTTTGATGGCGGTCTGCCAAGCAAAATATCTTCGCAGTCCATGTTCTCCCAGCTGCTCCCGATGCTTTTCTCTTTCTAGATATCGCTGTTCCTCTAGCGTGGCGAGGATTGAACAATCTCGCACGTTCGGCTGCGACTGAAGCAGCGGATGGGACTCTGGTAGAACGTGACGATGTCGCCTTTGGTGTTGTTGCCGCTGACGTCGACGCCGCGGTTTCTGCTGGATTGGATCCGTTCTTGTCTCTACAGACTGTGCGAAGACGAATACGATCCCCAATCGTTGTCACGCCAAGTCGGGTTAACAGTTAACTCCGCATCTGTCATCGTTAAAACTAGTTCTGGATCGATCCTTTCTTCTTTAAACCGCTCAAGTAAAGTCAGAAGGCCTGCTGCTTCGAGTACTTTATCCATGTTGGCGCATGCATATAAAGCAGTCCTTATATTATTAAAGCAGAAATATTCATATATTCTTTTCAATTCTATATTTTTATAGACGCCATTTTCTCTCAACTGTTTTTCTGAGCCCACTGTCTATGCTGCAGTACGTCGTGTTATTTATGATATTCTAACCACATAACGAAGTAAGCACATAACGAAGTAAGCACATAACGAAGTTACCGCATAACGAAGTTACCGCATAACGAAGTTACCGCATAACGAAGTTACCGCATAACGAAGTAAGCACATAACGAAGTAAGCACATAACGAAGTTACCACATAACTTTACCGCATAACGAAGTAAGCACATAACGAAGTTACCGCATAACGAAGTTACCGCATAACGAAGTTACCACATAACGAAGTTACCGCATCACCCGTTTCGTCTGTTTCCATACGGCTATTAGCCGGTAAAAAACACCCCAAACGGACGGGCTGTCAGCCGTGTAACGTACGTCCGTTTGTACGCTGAGTTCTGCCAATTATAGTTTCTACAGAAATTCTTTACCAAATCTGAAGTTAAACGAAAAATCACGTTTATAATTTTAAAGAATGAAGTAGTAAGATACTGAACTTTAGAAGTACATGGGATTCTGCTGGAAAATGCGAATATTTTTATTTGTTATGAATTTCATTCTGGAATAAACGACGCCATCTTTTACAATTACAAGATTCTAATAATGTTTCTTTGGCCTATGAGTCAGTCAATTGGAAAGAGTTTACTCTTATAACAGTTTTTAACAGTTTTTATTGTGGTATTTTTCTTTAATTTTTCAAAGTAAGGCAATTTTGTTAGGCATCTGGCTTGATGATATAACTAGTATGGGGTACATATTTATTTTGGTTTCTTTATATCAATGGTTTATATGAATTATGCAACTTTGCAATGATTTATAGGTAAGGACTGCAGAAACTATAGGTCAAATTATGTCAAATATGTACCATCTAAGTGATATTTGCTGATATGTGTAAAAAAAGTTGCCTAATTCAAGCCTTCTCTTCCTGTAGTCATTCATCATCATGATGGTCTCACAGAAATGGAGAAGGTTGCTCAGCCTACAAGGTTTTTACAAGAAGGTAATGATGATGAGATACATGATATTATGATGAGATCATTATATTTTCTGAAATAGAGGATGAAGGATTAGATGAGAGGATCAGTGAAGTTGATAGCACAACTCCTTATCAAAAAGCCCAGAGAAAACAAAAAGGCTTAGGATGATATGAGAACAGAAATGTTCACTATAGAACTGATCATGGAAGTAGAGATACTTGTAGCATACTTCGTCATGCAAGAACCATGCATATGCAAAATAAAAGGTATGGTACTTGCATGTATACATATGTTCTTGACATATTGTGTCAAAAATGTTGAGAAGTATTTTAATGATTTTATTTTTATCCATAGGCATTCTTAGTGATTGTAGTGTGGACTGCGCAATCTTCCTCAGATTGTTCACCTATTGCAGTTTGAAGATACAAGCAGAGAGGAATTTTCAAATAATGTCATATTTCTTTAATCCTATCCTTTCTGTTATGCAAAATATATGTAATAAATAAACCATTGGGTGTGTAGTGGTGGTATATTGTTGTCGATATTGTTCTTGAAAAAACCTTTAATGCAACCATAACAAAACACCATTAATATTATAACTATAACATTTAAAACACGGCATGTAGCTCTATCACATATACCTATGCTGTATGGTACATGGTGTATAAATGCTAATAATACATAGTTTGCACCATAAAATCATATTTACGGCTGGCAGTCGTATAACTTACGTCCGCTGTATGGTATATGGTGGTTGAATGGTGATATTAGAGAGTTTGCACCATGAAATCATATTCACGGCTGGCAGCCATACAACGTACGTCCGCTGTATGGTATATGGAGTATGAATGGTGATATTAGAGAGTTTGCAGCTTGAAAAAAAATTCACGGCTGGCAGCCATATAACGTACGTCCGCTGTATGGTATATGGTGTATGAATGGTGATATTAGAGAGTTTGCACCATGAAATCATATTCACGGCTGGCAGCCATATAACGTACGTCCGCTGTATGGTATATGAATGGTGATATTAGAGAGTTTGCACCATGAAATCATATTCACGGCTGGCAGCCGTATAACTTACGTCCGCTGTATGGTATATGGTGTATGAATGGTGATATTAGAGAGTTTGCACCATGAAATCATATTCACGGCTGGCAGCCGTATAACGTACGTCTGCTGTATGGTATATGGTGTATGATTGGTGATATTAGAGAGTTTGCACCATGAAACCATATTCACGGCTGGCAGCCGCATAACGTACGTCTGCTGTATGGTATATGGTGTATGAATGTTGATATTAGAGAGTTTGCACCATGAAACCATATTCACGGCTGGCAGCCGTATAACGTACGTCTGCTGTATGGTATATGGTGTATGAATGGTGATATTAGAGAGTTTGCACCATGAAACCATATTCACGGCTGGCAGCCGTATAACGTACGTCTGCTGTATGGTATATGGTGTATAAATGGTGATATTAGAAAGTTTGCACCATGAAATCATATTCACGGCTGGCAGCCGTATAACTTACGTCCGCTGTATGGTATATGGTGGTTGAATGGTGATATTAGAGAGTTTGCACCATGAAATCATATTCACGGCTGGCAGCCATATAACGTACGTCCGCTGTATGGTATATGGAGTATGAATGGTGATATTAGAGAGTTTGCAGCATGAAATAAAATTCACGACTGGCAGCCATATAACGTACGTCCGCTGTATGGTATATGGTGTATGAATGGTGATATTACAGAGTTTGCACCATGAAACCATATTAACGGCTGGTAGCCGTATAACGTACGTCCGCTGTATGGTATATGGTGTATGAATGGTGATATTAGAGAGTTTGCACCATGAAACCATATTCACGGCTGGTAGCCGTATAACGTACGTCCGCAGTATGGTATATGGTGTATGAATGGTTATATTAGAGAGTTTGCACCATGAAACCATATTCACGGCTGGCAGCCGTATAACGTACGTCCGCTGTATGGTATATGGTGTATGAATGGTGATATTAGAGAGTTTGCACCATGAAACCATATTCACGGCTTGCAGCCGTATAACGTACGTCCGCTGTATGGTATATGGTGGTTGAATGGTGATATTAGAGAGTTTGCACCATGAAATCATATTCACGGCTGGCAGCCGTATAACGTACGTCTCCTGTATGATATCTGGTGGTTGAATAGTGATATTAGAGAGTTTGCAACATGAAATCATTTTCACGGCTTTCATGGTGCAAACTCTCTAATATCACCATTCATACACCATATATCATACAGCGGACGTACGTTATACAGATTTTGCAGCCTAGTCCCAGGCCTTGTAAACGCGCGCTGCAGATCTTGAGCGCATCATGAAGTCTGGGGCGACCGGACAAACGTACGTACGTTATACGGCTGCCAGCCCGTCCGTTTTAGCCTTTAAACACGGCTATCAGCCGTATGACTTAGATGAACCGGGTGACCGCATAACGAAGTTACCGCATAACGAAGTAAGCACATAACGAAGTAAGCACATAACGAAGTTACCACATAACGAAGTTACCGCATAACTTTACCGCATAACGAAGTAAGCACATAACGAAGTAAGCATATAACAAATGAGGCACCGCATATAATGAATAAAGCACCGCATATAATGAATAAAGCACCGCATATAATAACGGACGGACCGCATATAATAACCGAGACTGCATATAACTACGGGTGGACCGAATCTAATTACAGATGGACAGCATGTAATGAATAAGGGGCCGTCGACAAATAGATTTCGTCCGGTAATCGCGGACTTGTACCGCGGTGGTGTAGACCCCCTCCCCCCCCTCCATCGCGGACCACTTGATTTTTGGTCCCCGCATACGAGAATGAAGAGGAAGCATAGTATTTTAATAATATAAACATCACGAGGGAAAAGTGCTACGTTTAATATGAGAACATACAGACTACTGCTGTTGTATTTTTAAAATAAACACCTTATAAATTTTCAAAAGAAACAGTACATACCTGAACTATGTTGTTTTAAATAAATCTGCGAATTTATAAAAAAGGACGAGGGACGTATATTTACATAAAACCATAATTAAACAAACGATATTAAGCTGACGCCATGTTTTTTTACCGCGATCAAATAAATAATCCAGCGGTATTATTATAAAACTCGTTCTTCATCGGCCGGGTTTAAAATTTCTCTAACCATTACGAAGTTTATAACATTGTGTAACACCTAAAAAACTCTTAAGTCAGATTTCGTCCTAATTTCCCTTTTAATCACGGATTGAAGGCTACCCCCCCCCCCCCCATCGCGGTACAAGTCCGCGATTACCAGACGAAATCTATTTGTCGACGGCCCCTAAAGTACCACATGTAATAAAGAATGGACCGCATATAAGGTAAAATGCAACTTAAATAACAACAAATTAACAAGATGTAATGACAAATGACCACTTAAGACAGTCCTGGCATTCCATAGGAAACGCTGTGATAAAAGCAGCGATGCTGGCGTGCAATCCGTGATGCGCCTAAATGGCTATTTCTGTTTCCCCTGCTCCGAACCCTACAGGGTGTCCCAAAAAAAACGAAAACTATTGAAATCACCCATAACAATGCCATTGTTAGAGTTTGAATGCCTAAGCACTGTGTTGGGCCCACAAGTGTATAAATCGGGGTTGCCATAAGCATTTTTATGTATGCATATGATGCAGTCAAATTTGCTTGTTCGCAAAAATGATATTTATTAACAATATTTACAATTTACAAATATAGATAACAATATTTAAATGTGCATCTCAAGGACCATGACCTTCGACATGTCCCCTTTCTCTAGCAACACAAAGCATTTAGCATTTTATAAGTTGTATTAAATCCTCACGGGCTGAAATTCGTGAACACGGCATTCAAATTTTAACAATGAGTGATTTCAATAGTTTTCGTTTTTTTTGGGACACCCTGTAGAACTGTAGTTTGAATAAAGTCCAGGCTTCCTAATTTAGAAATGTCCAGGCTTCCTAATTAAGTCTAAAAATAGACCCTTGGGTGCACTTAACCGAATTTTAAGCATATATTGGGTCAAACAGAACTAAACTCCCTTTGAGTGCTTGCGTATTGTTTTTGTCTGTAAAAAGGTCGCCATTCTTGTTGTCAAAGTTTGCACTCAGTTCGAACCCTGTAACTATAGTTTTAATACACTTCAGGCTTTGTAATTCACATCTTTTGAACAAAAATAGACCTTTGGGTGCACTTAACTGATTTTCAAACCCATATTGGGTCAAACAGAGCTAAAAACCCCCTTTGAGTGGTTGGGTATTGTTTTTGTCTGTAAAAAATCGCCATTGTTGTTGTCAAAGTTTGTACTTACTTCGAACCCTGTAACTACAGTTTTAGTACACTTCAGGCTTTGTCATTTACATCTTTTTAATAAAGATAAACATGTGGATGCACTTAACCGATTTTTAAACCTATATTGGGTCAAACAGAGCCAAAAAACCTCTTTCAATGCTTGCGTAATATTTTTGACTGTAAAAACCGAGTCGCCATTGTTTTTGTCAAAATTTGCACTCATTTCGAACCCTGTAACTATAGTTTCAATACACTTCAGGCTTTGTAATTTATATCTTTTGAACAAATATAAATCTGTGAATGCACTTATCCGGTTTTTAAACCTATATTGGGTCAAATAGAGCCGAAAAACCTCCTTCGAATGCTTGCGTAATGTTTTTGACTTTAAAATTAAGTCGCCATTGATGTCGCTTCTGAGTGCTGTCCGCATTACGGATTACGCGCGAAGAAACAATAGCCAATAGCAATAGTCAATAGGGTTTCCAGTCCCTGTCTTTTGGATTGTCTATGCCGTAGCCGTCCAAAAAACCGTCGCTAATACCCTCCTCAGGGCAACAGCTGGGCATTTTGTACGGAGCATGCGCGAACTTGGCATCCACGCACACGAAACGCCTTAGTAGTTTTCGCAAAGACCTCGTATATTTAAAAAATGGCGGCTGATAGGAGTGAAGATAGTTGAATACTTTTGCAGTAAAAGAAAGAATTCGGCACTTTACGAAAAGAAGAATATCATGTACGTGTAACTGTAACTGCTGGTTTTGTTGTATCTTGTGGTACAAAACATGGCATTGAGAAAGCATCCCAATGATCTAAATTAGCAAACAATATGTTGGTTTGTCACACTCACAACTTTGTTCGTCACTTTCGTTTGGACATTAAGAATTTCAGTCACAATGTGGTCGTCGTTGGTTAGTTAGCAGTTAAGGAAGCATTTATTGCAGGAAGCTTTCAGTCATTTGTCAGCTTTCAGCTGGACATTAACTTAAAAAAGCCACCAGAATCTTCACAGTGGGACTATGGCATGAGAGTATTGAAACCAAAATAGTTATGTTCATTTTATCAGATGTTGATCTTTCCATATTAATCAATTTATAAAATATATACAACTGTGCTATGCAAACAATCTCGCGACTCCGACCTGCTTCTGTTGTCAGTAATTTGTCAGTAATGGGCAAACATTTTTGTCAGTGGTTGTCAATAAGAAAGAATGAAAAAAATATATTAATAAGTATTAGAAAAAAGGGCAATAGACACTAGTTATTGTTTTCAATAATTGCTTAAGAAAACATGGGCATTAACTAAATTTAGTCTTCCGTATACTC